CTACATTGCTAGCGTCTGTGTGAAGCATCGTCGGGGCTTCTTCGTCAAAGTGGGTGAGCACAGGGGGCATTTGGAGACGTTGACGCAGGTCATTAAAGGCAGCTTCCTGTTCTTCTTTCCTCTCAAAGGCAACATCATCTCTTGTGAGACGAGTTAGTGGCGACGCGATGCGGGCGAAGTCTGCGATAAACCGGCGATAATAGGCACAAAGGCCTAGGAAGCGTCTGACAGCCTTCTTATTGGAGGGTACTGGGAACTGTGCGACGGCGGCAATTTTTCCAGGATCGGGCCGGACGCCTGCGTTGCTGAAGACGTGACCGAAAAGCTGAAATTCGTGAAAACAGAAATGGCACTTTTCTGGTTTCAATGTTAGGCCCGCGAACCGTATGGCACGTAAAACAACTTCCAGCCTTTTGAGATGCTCGTCAAAAGTGGTCGAAAGCACTATAACGTCGTCCAGATAGACTAGGCACGTCTTCCACTTCAATCCTGAAAGTACCGTGTCCATAATCCTTTGAAAAGTTGCGGGCGCGGAGCACAAACCAAAAGGCAAGACTTTAAATTCGTATAAACCATCTGGGGTCACAAAAGCGGTTTTCTCTCGGTCTCTTGGGTCTACCTCGATCTGCCAGTATCCACTCCTCAAGTCCATGGAAGAAAAGTAGCGAGCGTGCCGAAGTCTGTCAAGGGAGTCATCAATACGTGGGAGCGGGTACACATCTTTCTTGGTCACCCGATTCAGCTTCCTGTAGTCCACGCAAAAACGCAGGTGCCGTCCTTTTTCTTTACTAGCACTACAGGCGATGCCCAGGGGCTCTGTGACGGTTGAATGACGTCATCTGCAAGCATTTTTGCGACGTGTTGTTGTATGGCTTCGCGTTCCTTTGAGGCTACACGATAAGGGTTCTGGTGGATAGGTCTCACCGTGTCCTCGGTGATTATTCGGTGCTTTGTCAAAGGTGTTCGACCAACTCGTGATGTCGTTGAAAATCAGTCGCGGAATTCGGCTAGCAGCTGAAGAAGTCTCTGTCGCTCGTCCTTTGACAGAGTGGTGCCAACATCGAGAATGGGTTCTGGTTCTTGATTAGGCTCTTCGTCCAATACCGACAAACATAAACTGCCTCGCATTTCTACAATATTGTCGTACGAAGCGATAGATGTGCCCTTCGGAAGGTGCCGGCGCTCAGCACTAAAGTTCGTCAGAAGTAAATTCGTGCGTCCACCAGTGAGACGGACGATACCTCGTGCGACCAAAATGCCATGACTAAATAGCAGCGAGCCAATTTGGTCAGCAATGCCTTCGCCATCAAACGCTTCGTCGCCTTCTACTGAAACAAGAGTGCATGACCGGAGCGGGACGACCACATCATCATCAATTATACGTAAAGTGTTGCGTATTGTGTCTGAACAGTCAACTAAACCAGGGCTGTTGTGGAATGTAATTGAACGGTCCGGGATGTTGATGACGGCACCATATTCTCTTAAGAAGTCCATCCCTATGATCAAGTCCTTGCAACACGAGGTGAGGATGACGAACGTCGCCACGAAAGAAGAGCCACCGATGTCGAGTCTTGCTGTACACCTTCCGACAGGCATCAACAGCTGGCCACCTGCTGTCCTCAGGTGAGGTCCCGTCCACGTAGTCTTCACTTTTTTGAGGCTTACGGCAAGGTTTTCACTTATGATAGAAAAGTCGGCGCCGGTGTCAACTAAGCCTGTTACTTGCTGTCCGTCTACCGAAACGGTAAGATCTGTGGTCACAGTTTCGTCGGTGTTACAACTTCTCGGCTTTACGGCGTCCTGTGGTACAAGTAACGGGGGCTTTTTTTCGTCGTCTTGACAGCCTGCAACCTCACCCCCGGAGGTCACCGCCTTCAGTTTCCCCGGCGTGGACTTGGTGACCTCCTTCCACTGACGTCGGCTGTAGTTCGGTGGCGCGACGAAGGCGAATATGCCGGAGACGGAGAGCGTGGTCGACGTCCAAAACCTGGCTGGTAATCAGGCACACTGTCGTCATTATTGGCACAGCGGTTGTCAAAATGGGACTGAGACAAGGGGAGTCCTTGAGAATGAGTGTCCCGGCGTGGTGCGTAGCCGTCGTTGGCTCGTCGATCGTCAGACCATTGCCGAAGAGGTCGAAACATATATATCTACGTGGTGCCAGCAATGGCGGGAAATGTGGCCCACACCTCCGCAGGTAAAACAAAGCGGGCGCCTATCTACAGTGCGCCAGGCGTCTGTTTTACGAAGCTGTAGACGCCGCAACGGCTCGTAATGTGGCAAATGCCGTGTGTCGTTGGGACACGGCTCTTGGTACGGCGGCATTTCGTACGGCGGTACGACGGCAGGGCGCCGCGGTGTCTGTTCTTGCAGTGGCGACCAAGGAACGGCTGCCGATGGCTGGCGGTACGACGGCGCAACGGGCGGCGGGCGGCGAAGCGCGGCTGCGTAGCTCATAGGTCGCTGATCGTCAGTAGGATCAGCTGTTGAAAATGCTTGGCGTATTTCTTCGTGGACGACTTCAGCGACAGACGCCGTGGGTGGTTCCGTGACCAGATTCCGGAACTTCAGCAGCTCTTCGCGAACAATCTCTCTTATTAAATCGCGCAACGAGCTTTGATTGTCAGATGTCGTAGCGGCGACTTGCATGTGGACGCTGCTGGACAAGCGATATATATATATATATATATATATATATATATATATATATATATATATATATATATATATATATATATATATATATATATATATGGGAAAGAAGTGTATACCTAAGCGCTCGTTTTTCCGTGTTTTAACACAATAATAATGAGATATAACAGACAGTAATGCCAAGGAATGTACAGGGGAAGTTATTAGAACCAATGGAATGTAAATAAGAAGAAAGAAAAGTGGATGAAAAAATTACCAACTGTGAGCAGGAATCGAACCTACGACCTTCAATTTACGCGTTCGATGCTCTAACCACTGAGCTATCACAGCGGCCCTCCCTCCATCCACTTTTTTTGGTTTATCTGTGAATTTAGAAGTAGGAGCGACAGTCAGCGCCATCTATAAGCCAAACAACGAGTGTGAAAACACTCTTATGCGCATGTTTGGCGTCACGTAGCACGTGAACTTATTATGAGCGGGCAGCTGATTAATTGTCCCTCTTATACAACCTAAACACACCAAGTCTGCCAGTACGAGACCCTCGTTCAATGAAATATGGGAAAGAAGTGTATACCTAAGCGCTCGTTTTTCCGTGTTTTAACACAATAATAATGAGATATAACAGACAGTAATGCCAAGGAATGTACAGGGGAAGTTATTAGAACCAATGAAATGTAAATAAGAAGAAAGAAAAGTGGATGAAAAAATTACCAACTGTGAGCAGGAATCGAACCTACGACCTTCGAATTACGCGTTCGATGCTCTAACCACTGAGCTATCACAGCGGCCCTCCCTCCATCCACTTTTTTTGGTTTATCTGTGAATTTAGAAGTAGGAGCGACAGTCAGCGCCATCTATAAGCCAAACAACGAGTGTGAAAACACTCTTATGCGCATGTTTGGCGTCACGTAGCACGTGAACTTACTATGAGCGGGCAGCTGATTAATTGTCCCTCTTATACAACCTAAACACACCAAGTCTGCCAGTACGAGACCCTCGTTCAATGAAATATGGGAAAGAAGTGTATACCTAAGCGCTCGTTTTTCCGTGTTTTAACACAATAATAATGAGATATAACAGACAGTAATGCCAAGGAATGTACAGGGGAAGTTATTAGAACCAATGGAATGTAAATAAGAAGAAAGAAAAGTGGATGAAAAAATTACCAACTGTGAGCAGGAATCGAACCTACGACCTTCGAATTACGCGTTCGATGCTCTAACCACTGAGCTATCACAGCGGCCCTCCCTCCATCCACTTTTTTTGGTTTATTTGTGAATTTAGAAGTAGGAGCGACAGTCAGCGCCATCTATAAGCCAAACAACGAGTGTGAAAACACTCTTATGCGCATGTTTGGCGTCACGTAGCACGTGAACTTATTATGAGCGGGCAGATGATTAATTGTCCCTCTTATACAACCTAAACACACCAAGTCTGCCAGTACGAGACCCTCGTTCAATGAAATATGGGAAAGAAGTGTATACCTAAGCGCTCGTTTTTCCGTGTTTTAACACAATAATAATGAGATATAACAGACAGTAATGCCAAGGAATGTACAGGGGAAGTTATTAGAACCAATGGAATGTAAATAAGAAGAAAGAAAAGTGGATGAAAAAATTACCAACTGTGAGCAGGAATCGAACCTACGACCTTCGAACTACGCGTTCGATGCTATATATATACATATATATATATATATATATATATATATATATATATATATATATATATATATATATATATATATATATATATATATATATATATATATATATATATATATATATATACGAAAACCAAAAGTGATGTGGGGTCCGGGTGAGATTATCAGTAGTGAAGAGGACGCACGTAGGAAATGATTTTATTAACGTTTCCGCCGCGGATCCGGTTGAAACAAAAATTTTTAACAAAATCCTAGCCACTTCAGCGTGCACACCACAAAAAATACTTGGCAAAAATCAACAAGCTACCTCGCCAACGAGTGAAGAGTGAAGATATTCCTACACGAGGCATACAGCGTCAGGCTCACATGCTGTGCCGAGAAGATTTCGAACAGCTCATTTAGACATCTAAAGTTTTCTGAAAAGTTTTCTCTCCAATTATGACGGCACATTTAGCATCTGCTGCACCCCGACATGACAGCTCAACGAAGTTTAGCAAATTTTCATTACGAAGCACTCAAAGCTCTTGCAATATACGGTAGTCAAAGTGGTCTGTTTAAAGTTGCTCATCATTTTTTTTAATATCCTTCACATTTTCCGACCTCATCCCAACAGTGACCAAGAGTCATTCTATTCTTTCAATATTCACCACTCCTTCGTTCTGAAAGCACTGCAGATAGTGCTCACCTGCATTTGTACTTGACTTTGAAGTCCCACCGGACGATCCATCACCTACAAAAAAAGCATATAAGATGTGTTGCCCATTCTGGCTGGTTGAAAAAAAATTGTTATCCTGATTGCACTGTACAATTAGTGCACTCGTAGATTAGGAAGGTTATTATGTGTTACTTCCCATCGTATCACAGGTCACATAAGGAAGACAGGAATGCACGCAATCGACTACTTGTTTCTTTGTTCGTGGCGGCCGGGATGCCAAAACCCTTACAGATATTTTTGTGCAATTTCAGGGTGAACGGTTTTCCCCATTGCGCAGCTATTTATCGGTGTGCAGCAGTGTCATTCAGTGCGTCACTAAAAATGGCTTTCACGAACTAAATGCCAGACAAATTACGAAACACCCTATTGTAAAGATAGAACGAAAATCGCTTATCTTTATGCATCAAGTGTCCCAAGTGGAAAGGTAGAAATCGGAAGTGGTAGTGACGCGCTACACGAGAGTTAAAGGAAGAATTCTACCCATCACCAACAGCATTGCGATTATTTGCCTTCCACGCACGCCGACAGACTATAATGCATCTATAGGCAGACAAGACTTAGTACCACTTGCCGACAATCAGTCATATCATCCAGAATCGCTGTAGTGGTATCTTTTGTGCTGTGCCCACTGCTCCATTTACACTTCAAACTTGACGCATCACTAGTCGATTTGCTGACACAAGAGAACATTGTTGGCAAGAACACAACAGTATTCCTTTTATTGAAGCGAGCACATCGAGTAGAACATCGAGTAGCTTCGTGACAGTGAAGATGTTCTAGCTTGGCGTAAAGGGCCTGACAGTGCCTGAAAATTCTCATCATCATTAACGGATGTGTGCACCAGAACTTAGTTAATTCTTACCACTATCCACAATTGTGTGGCCTCTTATAACACTGATAACAGTTACAGAGATAGAGGGAGATAAACAAATAAACGAACAGAGAGACGGGAAATAAATATATAGAGAGAGATAAAGGACAAACTTCCTGCCACCAACTTTTTCACGAGACGCGATTTGCGCCCGCGTATCCTCGGTCAGAATGCGAGCGTCTTTGACCACTCAGCCATCCAGGCACGCTAGCTAAGCATATGCATAGCCTTGTATAGCACAATGCATCAAGGGGTTGGGAATGGAAAGCGAGTGTGAGGGGTGGAGATGGGATGGCGAGGAGAAGAGAAATTATGAGGAGAGAGAGTAAAGCGTAGAATACAAATAATCAGAAAGAGAGATATGAGCACCGAGGAGGAAGCCGCGGTTCTGCAAGTCAGCCGTGTCGGTCGACAAGAAGAACGAGTGGCAACAGGCCCGCGGCTCGCTGTGTCATGCTTTGCATGGCCTGGCGCAGACAACCCGCATTTTTTTTTGTTATTTGAACGTCATTCATTCACTGCAAATGCGTCGGGGATACTCTTTCGAAGTTGGGCTAAATGTAAATGGCACCTGATGTAACACCGACACAGCAAAAGTTCAAAGCAAGGTGAAAGCATGGCGAGAAGAACAATCTTGAACACGAGGTGCCGATGGGGCCAGCGTTTCACGAAGTGGTCTTGCCTTGTTCAAGACTTTGAGGCAAACAAAACCACTTGTTCGAATGCTTGCTCTGGCGACACACCGTATTCCAAGTATTGTTCACGTCTATCGGATGTTACGTCTGTGGTATTGGTTCTTTTAAACACACCATTATATTATGGGCAGGACATGTTTTGAACATGTTTGTGAGTTTGTGAGAGGTAATTTAGTGCCACTGGTATAGTAAGGCACAATTTTATGGCCTTTACAATTTTTTTTTCAGTGAGACGAGTATGTATTTTTTTCATAAAGCCCTATGATATGTTTATGTTCTACCAACCAAGGAGAAATATTACAGCTGGCAAGTTTCTCATCGCAACCCACCCTAGGTCCAATTATTTCCCTATTGCAAAGAAATATTACACATAGATTGATATTCAATAAGTCGAAATAGCGCTCTTAAAGACAAGAAGTAATTTTATTTCCAACACTGTAAGCAGCACGAAACAAACATTCGGCAACAAATTCGTGATCTCACTCACCAAAGCCACCTCCGGCGCCGCTGTTTGTCCCAGCGCCACCTAAAAGAGTTAAAACGGCGTTTGCACACAATTCATCGCTACCAAAAGAAGCACAGCGTAAACAGGGCATAGAGGAGATAGACTTTCGTACTTCTCTCTGATAGCAAGCCGGCCTAGCACGCACATAAAAAAAAGAGTCTTAATTTGCCACGTCAAAATTATAAACATTTGTGAAAATAAACACAGGTCAGACGGTGACTCTCTCACCCAATGGTGTGCATCTTTGCAATCAGACGTAGAGGAATTCAAAAACCTCTCAGTCGTACATTTCAGCGTTGCTGTTGGTAAATATTGGCTACATTTTATTAGAAAAGGTCGGGAAGTGGTGCCCAGATTCTTTTAAGTTTTACATAACCACAAGGTTTTAATTAAAAATAGGCATTGCAAAAATGGCTTCACAGGCACGTATGGCACTAAAAATTGAGTGAATTCCTCATTGCGGTTATCGTTTGTCCATTGAGTTGAAAGTGCTTGCACACAGATTGCCGGTATTATAACATAGCTGCCGGCCGCAGCGTTGTGGTGATACGCAGCTCCATGCAATCCTACACAAGTACGCTGCCGCTTCCCGGTGAGTTTGACAGTTGTAATACAATAGGTACACATGGACATTCTGGGAATCTGGCCGTGACAGAGGCGCAACGTCTAAACGCAAGATTGAGGCTGTATATGTCTTACGACTTATTTGATTGCCAATTAGCGGACGTTCTCTTTTTTTTTTCAGTGTGTATATCATCCATCGCTTAGAAAGATTCACGTGGCAGCCTGCGTACGTCCTATCTTCTTTCCGTCTGCATTTCTTGGGCATTAAATTAAACTATCAGGGTGACTTTAACGTTATGTTTCTAGTTGTACAAATTATCATTAACACTTAACATGAAATTGGTAGTTCCACTTACCTCCTAGTCCTCCCATGCCTCCTCCTCCTCCCATGCCTCCTAGTCCTCCTCCCATTCCTCCAATTCCTCCCATTCCATCCATTCCACCCATTCCACCCATTCCACCCATCCCACCTATTCCACCCATTCCCATTCCCATTCCGCCCATTCCGCCCATCATTCCATCTAGAAGGAAAAAAACATCATTTGTAGACTATCCAAATCTTACATATGCTCTTATAACAAATTAACCAGAACAGAAGGCTCAGCTGTGTAAGTATGGTACCTCATTACAACTCGACGCAATCTATACTCGAGCCATAAAAGGAAGAGTCGGAAGAGCGAAAAAAATGAGAACAAAACATGGATGTTGCCTCACTTCAGAGGGACATCGCGGCTTTCGAGAACGCATGTATTCTGCATATTTTTTTTTCAATTATTGACACACCACTATCAGGAAATTCAAAACATGGAACGCAAAAAAGTTTTGCTACTCATACTTTCAATGTTTCTAAGTTCAAAATGCCTGTGGAAATTATGAAGTTTTGGGGATTCACAGCACTTAGGATTCGGCAAGAGATTACAGGGCGATGCTTCGAATTATATCAACCGATCTCCTTAATCAGACCACAATAATACTTTTAAAATCTCTTTTCGTCACTATAAACTGATTTAAAGCACTTTCTCTAACACCTCGTGTGGGTTTTATACAATAGATCAAATGCAATTCTTTGAAAGTAATTCCTTCAGCAGCTTTCACTAATTTTTTTAGCCTGGGAATGTTTTTACATATGATTTTTCGTATTTTTGCTTGTCAGCATGTAATGACCAAGCTTGATGGCGTCACTGGCATTGTGCTCTGGACATTGTAATAAGTTAGCAATACAAAGCCTAACGTACCTTTCTAATCATGTTTATTCGAAGACAAGCAAAGATAAAAACGCGTATGATGAGTTGCATTGCATTGTCATGTTCTTTCACCTCCATTGTTCTGTCGTTCGTAGTAAGCCCGTAGCTTCGCGAAGTATGTTAACAGAAATAAACGCCAATATGACACACTACCGCCTTTGTGTTGAAGCATGAGGATGACCTGTCGAGTCGTGTATAGTACAAAGCAGGCAGTACAAATCCTTTCGTGATAATTGTAGATTTTCGTTTCATAGCGAGCCATTCCTGCCTGAGCACTGCATTGGATATTTTCCTAGAGATGCATTACGCTTCCGCCATGAACTCATGCTTCATGATGAAACAGGGGTGAAATAGGTTTCACTGTACGCCATTCGTTGATTGATTGATTGATATGTGGGGTTTAACGTCCCAAAACCACTCTATGATTATGAGAGACGCCGTAGTGGAGGGCTGCGGAAATTTCGACCTTCTGGGGTTCTTTAACGTGCACCCAAATCTGAGCACACGGGCCTACAACATTTCCGCCTCCATCGGAAATGCAGCCGCCGCAGCCGGGATACGAACCCGCGCCCTGCGGGTCAGCAGCCGAGTACCTTAGCCACTAGACCACCGCGGCGGGGCTGTACGCCATTCGTAACCTTTGCGCATTGTGAACCATGCCTGTTCTAAGTAGTGTAGGCAGCGGCTTGTCAATCAAAACGTATACATATGCCTATACGCTGCAGCCCAAATGTGATTGTAAGCTCTGTGGCTGTCCTTTGCATTCATGTTGCCACTTTCAAGCAAATTTTTTTGATGATTGCCGTATGTACTCTGGGTGATTTCTCATGGGTTATTGCGTTGCAATGCTTCCACACAGTCAAGGTGTTCTTCGGAATGATAGCAAACAATGGACCTGCTTAATATGTAATGATTGGAGAGCCATGTTGGAGAGCCATGATTTTTGCAGAAGCGTCGCACAGAAGAATACAAAAACACGCACATGTACCTAAAAGGCGCAAACAAAAGCGCTGTACGGCAAATGTTGCAGAATGGCGCTTAGGTTTGCGCCTTTCATAGGTGCATGTTTTGCGTCCTTCTGTGCGCTGCTGTTTCAAAAACTAATGAATATTTTAAAAAGGGCAACGTGTTCATATGGTCCAATAAATATTGCACACCAGCAAAAATATGCAAACACTTTTTTCTGAAGTAAAAAAAAGTTACAGGTAACATTTAGGCGAAAAATTGGCGAAATGTAAGCTATATAGAACGAACGCAATGAAAATTTTGTGTTCTCTTCGGCCCTCGTCGCTTGTAACTATGGCTTTCTTTACAAAAATTTCACAAGTGGCGCTTCTAGAGATGCTTCGTGTCACAGATTCCTGCAATTTCACCCCTTTCTAACTTTAAATAGCAGCGTAGATGTCAGGAGTAAGTCGGTTAATAAGCGTTCGATTCCTTCTAATAAATGTACTATACCTGTCATCATTGATAGCTTCTCCCTAGACATGATTTTTCGCTCTTATTTCGAAAAGTAAACGATTATTGCCACGTTGTCTTGACGTTGAAAAAGGTGGCAGTGTGACTGCGAGTGACGAAATTTTTTACTGAGGGATTTTGTTCTCGGATAATTAAATGTATAAGCACAACACGTAGTATACACTGCTGGCTACGATCTCAGTCGCTGGCCATCGGTAATCTGCTCATCAGTGAAATGCGTCCGCTTCTTTTTTTCCTATGCATGCCTTCCGAACCTTACCTGTGTCCTCGGCGTAATCTTAATGGAACAGTTCAAAATTATCTCGAAATTTACGCGTCACGTGTGACCATTCACCGTGGTGAAATCTGAACGCTGAACAGAGGAGCAAGCGTTCCTGGCAGTATGTTGTATGACACTATACAGTGTTAGGCAGGCTGCATCTCCGAACTAGCATGTTCATTCATAAATTCGTACAAACACACAGCCACTCCAAACAAGCCCAAGTTTCTGCCCTAATGGAAACAGCCATCTCTATATCCACGATGTTGATTCTCGTGAGCACTAAAGGTGCGAAAAGATTTATGTGTTAACAGCACTAGTCTATCTGTAAAACATAAAAGGAGCGATCACATTAGAAAGAAAGTGGCAAATTTTTTTCTTACTTAACATCATCGCATCCGTCATTCCTGGAAAGACAATAAAAAGTATTAGTGCAGTTCCCTCAGTTCAATTGTAGTCAATTAACGCGTTGCGCAGCGTTTTTGAAGCTCCCGTATCCTATTTTACCTTGTTTAGTGAATTCGCTTTTTTTATTTTGTTTTTCTTTTTTACCTATATAGTGTGAAGAAACCCATTATGAACAGGAGACTAAAAGTAAAAACTGACAGTGCGTGAAGCGTCTGAAAGCAGACACCGGAAACGTATCAATAGACCGGAAGCTGAAACGTAAGGTCTTTTTTGTAATCAACGGCACTGGGTACTTTCGTTTATCCTACTTGTGTTTTGGTCAAAATAAGAAATAGTAAACTTCAAATTAGTGCAGTGTAATAAAGTGGGTGCGCGTCTAATTTACCTCTCTGCCTTTCATTGTTTTTAATTTTTTTCTGCGTTTTTTTATTCGGTTGCTTTCCCGAATGTTTATGTCTTACCCAAATCGCAAAAGAACATCGAGCATCATCGTACTGAATCAGGGTGTATTCAGGAGCTAGTAGGCTTCCTCTAATAATTTATTCTTTAAATCTCACATTGAAACTAGTTAGGAAATAATTGGGAAAAAGGGCAAATCTGGGAACTGTGCCTGATAGCGGTTTTGTTTGCCGCATGATTCAAGACTGTTACAACCGTTGAAGATGCCACTTCTCCCTGCCTCGACTACTAATGTGCTGGTTAGCGACTGTTGTATACTAAAGTGTAATACAAACGAACAGACGTTGCATATGTTTCTCCCTTTAAGAATATCGTCATGTCTATTTCATGTTTAATATGCAGAATAGCTTTCTCGAATCACTCACCTATTAGCATGTTTTGACAATGAAATTTAATGTTTCCTCGGGAGTCTTTGTACGTTACTTTATATCTTTCGGTCCTTACACATGCAGATTTTTGTGTCACCTGACCTTCGACATTTTCATTTCTTCTACTTCATTAAAGCTTAATAATATTACTGTTGTGTAAGTGCTAACTGGATCGGGTAGTTCAAATCACCTAAATGTTATCCTTTACTGAGCATAATTCAATTAAAGTTGGTTTTAAGAATTCTGTAGCAGTTTGTGTTCTCGTCAAACGCAGAGAGATCTTTAATGATCAAATAAACAATGCAAAGTGTTGTGTACCGCAACGACAATGCTGTGCTTAGCGGGGTACTGATTGATTGATATGTGGGGTTTAACGTCCCAAAACCACTATATGATTATGAGAGACGCCGTAGTGGAGGGCTCCGGAAATTTAGACCACCTGGGGTTCTTTAACGTGCACCCAAATCTGAGCACACGAGCCTACAACATTTCCGCCTCCATCGGAAATGCAGCCGCCGCAGCCGGGATTCGAACCCGAGCCCTGCGGGTCAGCAGCCGAGTACCTTAGCCACTAGACCACCGCGGCGGGGCACTTAGTGGGGTACTATAAGCTAATTTTAATGGCTTAGAGTTCGTTAACATTCACTTAAATCTGAACACACGTGTGTCTCCAAACTACGTTGAAATTCAGCCACCATAGCGCGAGGCAGCGTAGTAGATTAGCTTCTAAGCTACAACGCCAGGTACGTCCCTTCAAAGCTCACAGACCCTATGTTTTTTTTTTCATATAATTATTTAAACCGCACTTACCCATTCCTCCATGGTGGCGATCTGTAAAATAAGCCCAAATCATTCCTGCCTCGCATGTTGCTCACACAAGCACTCATGACTAAAATGAGAGACCCAGAATTTCAGAGCCTTCCCTCAATTCAGTGGTTATAAAGCGATTCAGTGTACTAAAAAAAGGGAGACAAGTTGCACAGCAGCAACTTCTACCGCGAATGGTGGCACATAAGTTATTCTGTATTAATTACAAGCTTACAAGTGGACAAAAAAGTAATGGGAACAACATTGTTTTAAGAATGGTTATCCGTGCAATTCCCAACCTCGATCAGACTTAATCTTGCGACAACTAGATGGATCGTGACTTGCTTTTGTCTGAGCGATTAAAA